GGGGTCTGCAGCTCTAGCTCTGGGTGTCTGGGAGAGCAAAGATCAGTCCTGTGCCCCCTCACTTCACAGAGGGAACATTGTGCGCTGTATCAATATCAGGTACAGACAACTTTAAAAATTTTCTTAAAAAGGTCTGTACCTGATTTTGGTGCAGATGATGGAGCTCTCCCAACAGGCCACCAGGGGCCAAAAGGTAAGGAGGAGGGGAGGGGTGACACAAAACATTACTCAGACTTCCCCACACAAAATTCAGCCACTACACTCACACAACATTAAATTGCATATATTATATATATAGTATACATAGAATGTGACGGCAGATAAGAACCATTCGGCCCATCTAGTCTGCCCAATTTTCTAAATACTTTCATTAGTCCCTAGTCTTATCTTATAGTTAGGATAGCCTTATGCCTATCCCACGCATGCTTAAACTCCTTTACTGTGTTAACCTCTACCACTTCAGCTGGAAGGCTATTCCATGCATCCACTACCCTCTCAGTAAAGTAATACTTCCTGATATTATTTTTAAACCTTTGTCCCTCTAATTTAAGACTATGTCCTCTTGTTGTGGTAGTTTTTCTTCTTTTAAATATAGTCTCCTCCTTTACTGTGTTGATTCCCTTTATATATTTAAATGTTTCTATCATATCCCCCCTGTCTCGTCTTTCCTCCAAGCTATACATGTTAAGATCCTTTAACCTTTCCTGGTAAGTTTTATCCCGCAATCCATGAACCAGTTTAGTAGCCCTTCTCTGAACCCTCTCTAAGGTATCAATATCCTTCTGAAGATACGGTCTCCAGTACTGTGTACAATACTCCAAGTGAGGTCTCACCAGTGTTCTGTACAATGGCATGAGCACTTCCCTCTTTCTACTGCTAATACCTCTCCCTATACAACCAAGCATTCTGCTAGCATTTCCTGCTGCTCTATTACATTGTCTGCCTACCTTTAAGTCATCAGAAATAATCACCCCTAAATCCCTTTCCTCATATGTTGAGGTTAGGACTCTATCAAATATTCTGTACTCTGCCCTTGGGTTTTTACGTCCAAGATGCATTATCTTGCACTTATCCACATTAAATGTCAGTTGCCACAATTCTGACCATTTTTCTAGTTTACCTAAATCATTTGTCATTTGGCTTATCCCTCCTGGAACATCAACCCTGTTACATATCTTAGTATCATCAGCAAAAAGATATACCTTACCATCAAGACCTTCTGCAATATCACTAATAAAAATATTAAAGAGAATGGGTCCAAGTACAGATCCCTGAGGTACCCCACTGGTGACAAGTCCAAGCTTCGAATATATTCCATTAACTACAACCCTCTGTTGCCTGTCACTCAGCCACTGCCTTACCCATTCAACAATATTGGAATCCAAACTTAAAGATTGCAGTTTATTGATAAGCCTTCTATGTGCAACAGTGTCAAAAGCCTTACTGAAATCTAGGTAAGCAATGTCTACTGCACCACCCTGATCTATAATTTTAGTTACCCAATCAAAAAAATCAATAAGATTAGTTTGGCATGATCTCCCTGAAGTAAACCCATGTTATACATTTTTCTCATGAAGAGAATGTCCTACAGAAATTAATTGGTTTGTATTGGTAAAACCAGCTAAAGATAATTTAGTTTCTTAATGGCTCAGAATAGCTCTTCTCAAAATCTACACGCCTATAATTGTGTAATAGAAGCTTTAGATAATTTGCTGTTGAGTGGCTTCAGAGAAGGGATTGCCTTTAACCCCTCCAGGGCTGATGACATTACAGGTCTGTGTACTATGTAAAATAGAAATTTACCAAACCCTGGTCCCAAAGAGGTTAAACCTCATTTGCGTAATTTCTTAATTCAAAATTTAAATCTGTCTAATCTCTTCTTTGTAACATGAGACATAAGTAATGGAATCAGTCTGATTACGTTGCATCTATGTTGTTACATTTATAGAAAATCTTGAAATGCAGACAATTGGGTTTGTTTACTAAACAGCAAACAGTAGAACATTAACAGGATAAAGCTGCACAACTTTGTACAAAATGCTGAAATGGAAATCTACTGTAAATTTTTTTTGCAAGTTTCGTAGAAGAAAGAAAAATATAAAAAATAGGATGACAAAAAACCTCTTGTTTGAAGGGACACTAAAGCCACCAAGACCACGTCATGTCAATGATAGAGACTGGGAACATTTGCCCTGTCCTTTTATCCCTGCAATGTAAAACATTGTTTTAAAAAAAACTGGAATGTGTTTCATTGCAGGGTTTAATCAACCTCTAGTGGCTGTCTTCCTTAAGGCCATTAGAGGTGCTTTACAGACCGAGTAAAACATGACCGAGGAAAGTACTGACTACAATACAATACCAATTCCCTATTTTGGGATACACTCTATGATTCATTTTTTACTAAATACAATGGTTTCTGTGCATCAGGTCCTCTGTGAGGAACATTGGATTGAACCATTGCAGGAGAAGGCTATGCTTCAATGACGTCACGAGAGGTGAGCTGCGACAAGGAAGTCAAAGCACTGGAAAAAGGTAAGTAAAATCTTTATTTTATTCAATTTATGGTGAATATTGGAGTTGGACCCTCTATTTAATTAGTGACAGGGGCAGGTTTGTATTCCTAACGCCATAGTGTTCCGTTAACATGCAGCAATCAAAGTTGACAGAATAGATCATATCAGTATCTATTACTTCTTTGTGCTAATTGATGAATTTACAGTAACCTTTATTATTTCTCATTTTTAGTTTAAAAAAAAACATATAGGTTTTAACACATTCACTATAACTAACCTCATTCCAGCTAACCTTTTTTTCCGTAGGGTACGGTTGGATAGATAGTTCAATTAACGTTTTTCTTGTTGTTACATAACTTACAAATTCAGATTGGCTATGACATTCCTTTTGAAAATATGATACAAGATGGCTGGCTTTATACTGAAAAAATGTTTTCTTCAAATCTTTCAAGTTGTAGTTACTGCTAAATGTTCTATAGTGTGGCCACATCATAACTGAATATTTGTCAGTGCTTGTAATTTGTAACAAAGATTGTATATCCTTTGCACTTTACAAAGAGCATCTTACCCCAAGTACTCTTGAGTCTTCAAGTATCATTTAACCTTCAAATAGTTCATAAGGACCATATTTTCAATCTGTCCTTAGATCAACACTGGTGAATTAAAGTCTCAATGTTTCTCCCAGACTGAAAGTAGCCATTATAATGATAGGTACACCTATGCTTATTTAGGAGTGTCCTCTGTTAGATTTACTTGATAATTAAGATTGAGAAATCCTGAATTCAATAATTGTAAGCAGCAGACATTGTCTGTGGCATCCATTATCTTTTGTTAAATGTATCTGTCAAACGGACTTTTCCCTGAGTTCTGTCACATGTTCCATGATATGTCAAGGGATACAACTTTTCCACATCTAAGGGGAGAGGGGGGAGAGTTTGCCAAATATATATTTATTTTTATTTTATAAAATTAAGAGGTTTGAGGAAATGAATGTAGATTTGCTACGATTTTGTTTTGATTACAACATCACCATACTTATTTTTTTATTTGGATTTCTTACACCTCTGGGAATTGGTTGTCATTCAGTCTGGCTCCTGCTACTGTTTTCTGAAATGTTCTTTCCTTTTTTCTGCATTTGTTCTTTTGTCTTTGAAATTTGTATCTTTATCATTCCTTATATGTAAGATCATATTTAAATATTTAGTTTGTTTTTTGTATTTTGGTAGTTTTTTTTTTCTTAACACCTACCAACTTAGATATTCACACAACTCGGTAGTGTTTTTTTTTTAATTCACCTCAACTCAACAGATAAAAACACTTCTAGTATTTTTTCAATTTTACAAAGCAATGGCGGAAGGCAATAAGGTGCTGGTCCTGACTTTAGTGAGTAGAGGAATTATTTACAGTACATTGCCTGATGGTCTCTCAATATGGAATCTAGCTGCATAGACCTCTTTTTAACTCCCTCTTCGGTATACTCTGCTCTAAAACACAAAGAGCACTACGTGTCATATTATTGCCGTATCCGAGTTACGGCTCCCCTTGGACAAGAACATGTAAGAGAATTGTGTGCCCATTTTCCATTTAGTTTTTTTTGCCCAAATTTGTCCATTTTCCATTTAGTTTCCCAATTATATCATACTAGGCAAAATGAGACAATGACTAAGAACTGTTGTTCAGTAGCCTTTGCATCACTGCACCTATTGGAATTCGTATTGCAATACCAGTACCAGCAATGATGTATGTCCCAAATTTAAAGGGACACTATAGTCACCAGAACAACTATAGCTTTATGTATTTGTTCTGGTGAGTATAGTCAGTCTTTGCAGGCTTTTTAATGTAAACACTGCCTTTATAGAGAAAACGTGCTTGTGTTCCTGGCACTATGGTGCTAGCCTGCAATAGTAAGAACAGATTCCATATAATACTAACTAGAATCTACTATAGAGAGACATTAGGTACTGGAGGCAACTGGGCATGCCATCATTAGTCATCAAGTTCTGCTAATTTGTTTTCTGCCTATGGTGGAAGACTTTCTCTTTATTTTTATTCTTTAGGATAGTATTGGTATAGTCCAAAAGCACTTGGGATCACAGGAATGCTGCCTATCTTAATCAATCCTTTTCTTAGCCAATAACTGTAGTTCCTTTTGTTTAATTAGATTAAGCATATTAGATTAAGACCATTCATACATTTGTTCTTAGTTGTTGCAAAGATAATGTCCAACTGATGTTACTAAAAGCCCTTCTGTGTTAATTGTCTGTGCCCTGTACTATCCCATCAATATACATTTATTAGGGAAAAATCCAGAAGATGATTTGTGATTTATCTGTTTTTTAGTCCTTTAAAGACACAATTAAAGCTATGCTCTAATCAGACGTGTCTCCATTCGCTCTGTTCTTGTCATTATCAATTATTAGTCCCAGGTAATAATGGCAACATAATTCATTTGATTGCCCCCTCTGATTGTATGAGAGCTTGAGGCTGCAACTTTTCTGAGCATTAGAACACCATATTACATAGACAGGTGGTGAATATTGATCTGGCATTTAAAATGGCAATCAGCAAGCATTGAAGCATTCCCATCTTTCCTCACTCAAATTCTGCTATACCGTCCTTTAAGCTCTTGTATCAAGTGTATTTAAGTACCTTGTAGCAAAGCCACTACCATACCTCTATACATTGCTTCTTAATTCTGTTCATTCTACTACTGGCTCTAAATATGTGAAATCCATAACAGAGACCCAGCGACCCACAGTTCAATACAGCCACCAAATACACTTAAAAGATAATTCGAAGGGAAATTCGAAAGCAGCGTAGCTACACAGAAAGCATAGCTGTATTAGAGAATTTTTACAGTTCCACCATTTTGACTTTAAATTTGAAATTCACTTTACATTCTCCCTATTCATTCCTTGCAAAATATTTAAAAAAAAATATTTTGGATAAGTGATGAATTGATTTTATTTTAGTTGCATAGTAATTATTATAAGCAACACTGAATGTAATTAAATATTATTTAGATCCTATGCATACAGAAGAAAGTCCTATCTCTCCTTAAAAAAATACAACATATGTATGGGGGAACTTAAAGAGAAATAGTTAATATAAGGCAGACCAAACACACAGCAAAAGTGCAAGAACAAACAGTAATTTGCAAAAGGCTCAGTCGTAAATTGGTTACACCAAGAAATTATTATGATACACGATTAATACGCCAATGGTTTTCTTAATGCTCAAAATCTGGTAATATTTCTAGATTAACATATAGATTAACATATAAGTCACCTTCATATTGGGCTAGTTATTTTGTTATTCAGTACATCAGTATCAATAATCTATTGTGTTAATAAATAATCTAAGCAAACTAACAAATTTGGAATCCTGGGTAACTACTGGATAAAGAGAAAAAGGATCATTTGTATTTAACTAAGATAAAGGTGAAACGCAAAGAAGGTTAAAAAAATATTAATAATCATAATAAATGTGTAGCAAATTATTTAAATATATTACATTAAATATTAACTTAAATTTTAATTTACACCTAAAGGTGCCCCCTCAGCTAGACTCGTTAAGATCTAGAAAGGTGATTGTGTTTCGGATACCAACAATAAAGAAGTTAAACATCTGTTGAAACGTTACATATACCTTCAAAGGAACATGGCTGGAAATTCATAAAGTTTACCTGATCCAAAGTCTTGTCAGAATCAAAAGAAAGGAGGCTGGGAGACATCAGAGATGAGATGAACAGGTCAATAAAGATAGCATGTAGCAGATATTATCTCTCATCTCTTACATAGGTAAAAAGTCTATCTGTTCAGGGCATGTCAGTTAATCCCTTTACTTTCATAAATAAGGGTGAATAAAGTTTCATGAACTAAATTTCATAATGTGAAATAACATGAAAAAAAACAAACAAACATATATTGTAGGGGTTAGAGTATGAAAAAGTCTACTAACTAATATTTAGAATATGTTTCAGAATATGCCTCCATGTGTGCATTGATTTGCAAGTTGCATCTATCACATACACCACCGTATCCCAATTAGTGTTCTGCAAGAAAAACACTGGGGTTCCACCACATATATCTCCACATTCAAGATGGACACCGCTCCCCACTGTTCCTGGAAGATGGAATCAGCAGAGGTCGTGAGAACGTGATGTTATTCTATCTTCTTCTCGAACAAAGAAACAAAAATAGATGACAGCTACTCATTAGGATTCACAAGTGCCAGAAGTGAACATTGTCCTGAAGCACAATGCTCACTTTGCAAGAAAATATTGCCAAACAGTTCGTTGGCACCTGCTAAATTACGTCGTCATTTTGAGCAAAACCACCAGATAAAGACATTGGCTGTTGGCAAAAGCTTCAGGAATATCAGAAGATTAAAACAGTTTGTGAACAAAACATTTAAAAATGGAAATAAAAAAGCCACAGAGACATTTTACAGAGTGAGCTATTGCATAGCACTTTATGGATAAGTACACACGATAAGGGAATCACAAAAAAAAAAAAAAAACTATGTGCAAAATAAATAGTTTCATGTATTTTAAGTGAGAAGTTGTGTAAAAGAATTTAAGTTGTGCTACATGTGTAATCACTGCATTCAGACGAGTCCACAGATGTTGGACTTTCAATTTAGCTGTTTTTTGTAAGATATAATTTTGACAAATGTGTTGAAGAAGACTTGCTTCTATGTGAAACTTTACAAGCTCATTAAACTGGTGAGAACATTTTTAACTGTATCCAAACGTTTATGAACACACACAATATAAAATAGGACAAATATATAGAGGTGCGCAGTGATGACACCAAAGCGATGGTTGAAAAAGAGGCTGATGCTCTGACACGAATACGAAATGTAGCAAAAAACACCACCACCTCTCTCTGTGTTCTTCACAGACATGCTCTGGTAGCTAAAAATATTTCAATATCACTTAAAACTGTGATAGACAATGGGTTCCAGATTATTAATTTTACAAAAAGTCTACCATTACAGTCATGATTATTTAAAATTATATGTGAACATGGGTAGTCACTAGTGATGTCCCGAACGGTTCGCCTAACGGTTTGCGAACGGTTCGCCACGGACTCATCATTGAGTAAACTTTGACCCTGTACCTCACAGTCAGCAGACACATTCCAGCCAATCAGCAGTAGACCCTCCCTCCCAGACCCTCCCACCTCCTAGATAGCATCAATTTTACATTCATTGTGAAACTGCATTCTTAGTGAGCTGTCCAGGAGGTGAGAGGGTCTGGGAGGGAGGGTCTGCTGCTGATTGGCTGGAATGTGTCTGCTGACTGTGAGGTACAGGGTCAAAGTTTACTCAATGATGAGTCCGTGGCGAACCGTTCGGGACATCACTAGTAGTCACCATTCTGACCTGCTTCTACATTCAGAAGTCCATTGGCTATCACAAAAAGTCCTTCTTAGAATGTTTGAATTGTAGCAAGAGTTGTTTGTATATTTCAAGGATCATAAATTTGGATTATCTGATCGATAAACAAATATTTTGTGGTTATCCAAAAAAGCATTTTGTGGACATTTTCGCAAAATTAAATGAAGTATGTTTATCACTGCAAGGAAAAAACATAAACATTTTTAATGTGAGAAATAAAATATTTTCACTGTCTCTTAAGTTGCAGTTTTGGACCTCAGCTGTGAAGCACAATAATTTGAACTTTTAAGGAGTTTCTTAAAGAAATTGAACTTGAAGACAAAATTCACAATGAAATTTTAGATCATCTTCACAATTTGCACATGTCTATTAATCAGTATTTTCCAGTATTTGACTGGGTTTATATTCCATTCATACAACACAAACCAACCAGCTTTTCTGACCTGGATTTTGAAAATCTGATCAATTTAACTTCTGACAGTCAACTAACCCCAAAAATTCAAGAAGTTTCTCTTATTGCCAGAGTTGTCACAGAGCGGACAATCAAAGTTCTGTTGCAATTCCCCAGCTTGCGTGAAATTGGATTCTCGCTTTATTTTGCAACCAAAACTAAAATTTTAAACTGACTTGTTGCAACTGTAGACATGCAATTGCAATTGTCAACTATTTGTAAAAAAAACAAACAAACATTACACTGAGCACACTAAAAGGTTTGTGCTAGGGCACAAACATTTTATAAGGTTTCACAAAGCTTTTAAACTATGTCAAAGGTCTCCATGGGGAAAATTAATTGGGAACCACTGACATACACTAATCATGATTCCTTCTACCTTAAGAAATGACAAAAACACAAGGTTGATGGGGAGCCATTATACTGAAACGTCATGTAAAGGGATAAAAAAAAATAAAAAAAATTCGGTAAATATAGCATATAGTATAGCTATTTCTGTCCAGGGGGATTACAAGTCTTAACATGCATAGAGTTTGTGTAATCTCTCCAGGTTTAGTAAGCATCATTGGGCTTATCTGTATAATTGCTAGATCATATCCAGCATTTTTGGGATTTAATAATTAAAGAAGTCAAATAGCATAGTAGAAAAGGACAAATTAGCTGTATAATTAGCTGTCTGGAAGGAGGTGGAGGTGTGTCACTAGGAGGTTGCCACTAGACTTATCCAGGGAGAAAACATTTGGTTTGGCTAATTGATTTACCGAAAATATAAAAAACGAGCGCCAATCAGTTCAGGTTTGTCCATGAGCTGCCTCAGTTCAGATGAATTTCACCTATGCGATCATTTCCAGAAAGATGATTTGGACAAACCATATAATTGCAAAAACGGCCTAGTATCCTGCAAAATATACACATAATATAAACATTCTGTAATTTTGCAGTACACTAATAGGCACATTTTCCTGCCATTTGCTTCAGAGATCAAGACTTAACCAAAAGAGGGGAACTTTTAAATATGAAATAAATTATTAAATGTTTAATATATAAATTTAGGTTTATTTATTTTTTCACTACTGCTTTTTTCTCCTCTGTTGGTCACTTCTCACTTGATCTGTGAACAAAATAAACACTTAGTGTCTGTCCCTTTACCATTACCCATTTTGTTTTGGCATCACAGACAGAACTCTGATAAATTAAACTAACTAAACTGTTCGTCCATTGAACCAATTTTTGTTTCATGATCCTCCATATAGCATTTTTGCTTTACGGAATTCAGTAAAACCGATGATCGCCCGAAATCCAAAAAACTTGCAACTAGTTTGAAATCAAATATAAAGGTCTAGTTGACAGTCTAGCAAGTATGTATACTTGTTGCTTGTAATCAGTTAAGCAATGTACTTAGGTTTTCATTAATAATTTTATTATCGGTTTAACTTTGATGCACCCCAATGACCTGTCTACCAAACAAGTCTTGAATTAAAATATCACTGAACTTTAACTTTTAGGGTAGTTGCACATCCAGTTATTTAGTAGTGATTTGTGCTATGTTTTTCTGTTGCACCTTGAACACAATTAGGAGTGAGAAAAATATTGTTAATTCCTCTTGAAATTAAATGTTTGCTTCAAGAGCTCCTGGCTCTCCATGGCCTGACTTTTTCTGGTGACTATGGATTGGCATTCATTTCACCATGACAAAATGAATACAGAAATGTTTAGAAAACCTCTAACAATTCCCTTACTGGTAGCTCTATAGTCTTACTAAATATAGCCTAAAATTCCATATGCAGAATAGTTTCCACATGAAAACTAAATTTGTATTTCCCGGGTTCCATCTGGATCCTGATATGCAAGAAGCTACACAT